GAAACATACAAAGGAGTTTCTCTACAGCATTATTACTGGCTAGCAACAGCCCTGCTCTCCTGGTATCTATAGGTACATTCATATATTTGCAAGATATATACCCATATCTAGCCTTCCAGTTTCATGATACCACAAACACTGACAGTTACAATACATTCCAATTGTCTTAATGAGGACTTTTAACCACAGGAAAGAAGTTAACATGGAGGAGCATTCACATACTACTGGACAAGTTCTTACTTGCTTAAATCCTAAAAGCATTTAATCTGGGACATGTTTCATTTTCAGTTTGAGAGACTCCTTTGCTGTCCTGAACAGATGACCAAACCACCCAGTGAGCAAGCTAAGACCATGAGAACTACTGTAGAGCTTCACCAAAGAGACAGCAGATGGAGTGAGAGAGGCTTTCGGCCCGACAATGGAAGCACAATTCTGTACACTTGAATTACTGGGAAAATAGAAATCCCCAGGCCCCAGAATTAACAGATTGGATCTTCTCCAACAACAGTACACTGTCCTTTCAGAGGGCATTCACTTGAGAACAAGCAGGCAAAAAATCCTGCCAAATAGTTTCTACTTTTTTTGTCTCTGTGAGTAGCCCTAAGTCAAACTAATGCCTTTGTCAGGCTACAACCCACACTATCACAGAGAGTGACTTTACTCCACAGTTTACATTATAATTATTCCACAGCTGCAATCCCCACAGAAGAGAGCAGCCTCACAACTCCCCACCCTCACCTGCCTCCCTTAACTATGCAACCTGAAGGCTTCCATGGTCTGTCTGCCAAAAATAACCTTGTTGCTCACTCTTAGTGACTGAAATACAGATGGAGGCAGCCAGACAGCACAACCAAAAAGCTAGAAGCTTCCTGCATTTAGCTCAAAGATGCATTAACACTGAAGTCTATTTATGGACTATCTAAAACAAACGCTATTCACAACTTCACACCTTAGAGTCAATAAAACCGTATTATTGCATGTGCAAGGTCAGGACTTGAGGGCCAAGAGTCCTAGAATAAATTTGACTCACACAAGCTACCACGCACCATTCCTTCACAGCTCAGCAGCTTTCCTGGTTGTCACCAGCGATTGCAGTTGAGTTGAATCTTACGATCTTCAGAGGTATTCACACCAAGAGCATTTGGCTCTTGTGTACTTCAGGGAGTTAAGGGTCAGAAACCAAATCCTTCCATTTAACATTGTTCTAAAGCTAGGAATTAACGTATCATCCCTTCAAGTCACGAGATTAGCTTGAAAATAATATTGTCCTGTGTTTATTTGCCTCCAGCATTAGACATTCAGATTCCTATTTTCAAGCTTTCTCTAAAACTATTTATTTGAAAGAAAGAGAAAGCAAGCTAGGAATCTTGTGTGGCTAATGTACATCAAGCTGATGCTTGAAGAAAAAGAGCTGCCATCATGAGAGTTGGCAACTCTCAAATCGCTGGTTATGGAGGAAAGAATATTAAACAGCTATCATCAATCTATCTAGATCCAGGAAGTGAGCCATGAAATGCTGACAAAGGGGAATATCTGGTCTGACAATGACAGTATATTTATCTTTTAAACGAAGAATAATAGAGTTACACTGGAGAGACTCATTTTAACTTTGCAACAGTAAAGTATCTATCTCATCACCTTAGGGTGATATCTGAGCACCTCATGGTGAGAGGAATTTATTCTATCAGTTCTTTTAGAGACCACCATTTTACACAGATAGTTACTGCAGCCTCCAAAGAAGCCACACGAGCATTATGAACAGAACAAAGGAAGTATGGAAACACTGACCTGAACAGCACTAGCACAACCTCCCATCGCAGCAGTAGGTCCATTCCCTTTTCATCCTCAGCTTCTTTTCTGGTAAACAGGGATAACACCAGATCATCACAGGAATGTTTGGGCTTGTTTTTTTGAAATATATCTACACTTACATGTTTTCCCAGCACATTAGGCCTTGTGATTGGGATCTATACAGGGATATATACATGCACAGACCACCTAGATGTGCTCCTATCAGCCCTGGGGCTCCCTGAGCATACTCATCAAACCCAGCATGGGCTAATTTTCTCCAAGCCATTACCAGAACAAACAAATACAAAAAGCCAAAACCACAAGGAAAGGATGACACAGTCACTGAACTGTGACTGAAACAGTAGGTAGCAGCTTGAGTTAGAAGAAAAAATGCAAGTGCATTTATAACTAAGGAAGCCAGAGAAACTCGGCATTACTCTCCAGGTACCTATGATCACCTACACCTAAGATAGCTACAAATCCCTTACCAGAATCTCTACTTCATGAGAAGCCCAACCCACACAGAAAAAAAAGACACTGTTGCTGTTTAAAGCTAGTCATGGAATCATCATGCCAACCCCACATCTTTTCTACCTGAGGACCAGATCCTACTGACAAAGACTCACACTCCCCTTAAGTTCTGATGAACTCACCTGCTTTTTTCCTCACTATCCATGTCCTGTCTGCTAAAATTACGAAGAAAGTGGGAGAGAAATACCTCAAACAACAATAAGCAAATTCACTGCATCTAGAATAACTCCGTCTTTGACTTGTACAGAAGTGCTGAAGTGCCAAACCACTCACAAAGAAATGAGTACCTGCTGTGTGCAGACACACAGCTGCTCACAATGAACATTTTCTCCCACCTGCCCCCTAAACAGCACACAGCTGGAGCCAGACCTCTGGGCAGCCCAACCAACTCCTTTTGCTTTAAGGGGCAGTAAAACAACTTTCTGTCCTCGGTAGAATGGGGCATTCAGATATAGCCAATTCACACCAGAATATGGTCACTAGGAAAGGAGCTGCAGCTGCTACCTCACCCTTTTTAAGCAGTTTGTGCTTGGGCACCCATAGGAACCTTCTAGCACATCCCTGTGGATGAGTGTTAGTATTAGTAACCTGAGTAGCGAACAGCTGCCCTTCTCCTTCAGAAGCTGCAAAAAATTTATCCATCCATTACTTTTACTGCTAAGGAGAGTAGGGGTTTATCTTGACAGCAGCCAAAAACATGCAGCAGCATGCACTGGATCTGTGCTATTACTTGACCCACCTCAGCTTTGCAGAATGCTCTCCCAGGCTGAAACAGCCCAGGCCAGGCAGCCAGCCACGCAGAGGCTTTCGATACTTCTGCGCTGGGTCAAGCATGCAGATAGGTAGCGCGTGGTTCCTCGTGCTGGGGGACTATGGGTTTTTCTGCTTGTGGCCCTCTCCAGGGGTATGCTTGCCAAGGAGGGCATGAGCACAGCAACCTCACTCACAACTTCTCAGCAAACTAAGTGGGCTTCGTTCTTCAGCAAGATCAAAGCTCTGGCTTTGCTTCAGCTATGTGTGGAGAGGGGGTGCCTATAGAAAGGAATTAGAGCTTGAACACAGAGCAAGAGCAGAGCATAGTGAAACCTTCAAATCCTGAAAGCACATGACTGAGCTTTCCTAACTACACAGCAAGAATGTTGCTGTCCCAGAGAACCCATTCCCATTAGAATGGCAGGATCGCAAGTAATTTAAAGCAATAAAAAAAAAGAGCATGCCATCAAAAATTATCTAAATTGAAATGAAGCAGCTGATATTAGAACACTGTGCTGAGGTTTTAAGGGCAGGCAAATGATAAGCTTTAAGGAAGAGAGGCAGTGGCAAGGAAATTGCTTACCTTGATAACAAAACCCTTTCTGTTGAGCTGTGTAAGGGGAGAGCCATCATTAATTTACACAGGAAGATTCATAGTGTTTTACTCTGCTGAAGAGTGGGATTCTGAAGAAAATCCTTAAATCTTTCAAGACCAAAATGATTTATTTCCTCCTGCAAAGCAGGAGACGAAGCAGCAGCTGCCATAACTCTGCAGCAGTCTGTTCTTCAGGGAGGATGGAGAACTCATGTCTGAACATCAGTTGTCACCCCTAAAATTCTTCATCATGACAATAATTTTCGCTCTGTTAGAAGTCATTCAGGGCCACAGAGGGGTCAGAAATAGGTAACAGCAATTGTGAGAGGATTTGTTGTTCCAGAAGTTATTATTTTCTTTCCATACTCTAATGACGGCCATATGATTTTGTCTGACTTAATACAGAAGAAAAGAATCCACTTTGTCACCTTATCTTATCTCCTGTATCCTAGAGAGAGGCTGATCACATACTAAGCCAAGAACCACAGATGCAAGGAACCCAAAGAGTTCAGAGGGATTAGATGAACTGAAGCAAAACAGTGTTTTCCAATTTGCACTTCCTTCTCATCATCCCTGCGCCTCACAAACGGTTAGTACTAACATGGGCATTGCCAAATGTCATTTGACATAATGGAGTTGAAAATGTTTATGGAGACGTGTCAGTGAGTGATCCGATGGGAACACAACTCCGTCTGAGAAGCAAACCAGGGGCCGGGGAGGGGCCAGTCTTGCTAAAAGACTGTATTTTTCTGTTTAATCCCCAGTTATACACATGACTTCACCATGGAAAGGTCACCAGACAAAGAAGTGCAGTGAGCAGGGGCTGAAGGGAGGGATTGTGTGGAAGTTCCCAGCTTTGCCCATGCTGAATCCTGCACCTCAAGGGCACGCACATCTCCCTCTAGGTATCCACACGGCCCAGCATCGGGACCGAGGTGCTCCGGTAGGAACGGACACAAACTGTCACAGCACAAAAAAGGCGCAGGGCGGTAAAACCCGAAATTCACCTTTCACCGCTCCGGACGCCCGCCGGGTCCCGCGGCCCGCGGCGGGAACCAAAGCTCTCTGGTGCGTTCCCTCACGAGCACAGGCGGCGGGTGGCGGCGCCCGGCACATCCCACCCGCAGAACCGCAGCCGGAGGCGAAGACCCCCCTCTGCCGTGCCGGTGGAGCGGAGCGGGGAGCACGGCTGAGCCCTCAGGCCCCGCTGAGGGCGCGGAGCGGGGCTGACCCTGCTGAGGGGAGCAGCCGGAGCCCACGGGGCGGATGAGGCTGTGTGAGGTGAGGGGGGAGCACGAGAGGCGCGGCCCCCACGTGACCGGCCCGGCCCCAGCGGCCCCGCTCTCAGAGCGGTCCTGGCGCGGCGAGATGCGGGCGGGCGCGCGGACAGCGCTGCCGCTGCTGCTGCTGGTGCTGGTGTGGGGTGGGCAGCGCCCCCGGGCAGCGCGGGCCCAGCGCCCCGCCGCGGACGCAGGTAGGGGCGGGAGGGGTCGGGGGTCCGGCGCAGGCAGAGCCGCAGCGGACGCCCTCAGCCCCAGGTGTGCTGCGGCGGGCCTTGACCTGCACGGAATAGAGAGCTCCTCACAGCTCCGAGCCGCACAACTGCCGCAGGGAAGGGCAAGGTGCGAGCACGGGTAACACCTTTGTACTCCGTTTCCAGGGAACGGGACGGGTTGTGTCCCCTCTTCGTCAGAGTTTCCTGAAGGATTTTTTACACCGCAGGAGCGAAAGGATGGAGGAATCGTTATCTACTTCCTAATTATACTTTACATGTTTTTGGCCGTGTCCATCGTGTGCGATGAGTACTTCCTACCTTCGCTAGAGATCCTCAGTGAATGTAAGTGAACATCCTTGTCCTGTAAAACTAACCGGCCTAGCGCAGAACATCCTCTTTAAGAAAAGCTTCATAGTTACGAGTTTGGAAACAAAACTAAAGACATTCCGGTCTCTGTGCATAGACTTAATACAGCATTTAATCTGATGCAATGTATCATTATTATATTGTCAAACCATACTCTGACTACACTTTGCAGAAGCATTCATTTACAATTTGCTTTCCTTGTGGCATGGAGGACAATCTGAAATGTTGCTCAGTATCAGCTAACCTGGCAATAAAACTCTGGGTTGAGCAGTTGTACATCCAGCTTATTAGTAGAAGGGTGGTGGGAACCAAACCAAGAAAAAACCAAGAAAAAACCTCTCCTCTGTTAAAACACGGGAATTGCCTTCCTCGAGTTCCTGTAATTCCCTCAAAGTACTGGACAAGTTTTAGGCTGAGCTACCATTTACCCATTAAAGGTATGACACAGGAGGGGAAGGAGTACCATAGTTAAAATGCTTCTATGAAATCTAATCAACCCATAATAATTCCCCTGGCTTCAGCACACCACTGAATTAAAGAGATGGTCTTGGCTGAGAGTTCAGGTTTTCACTGCCAAGAATTAAAAACCAGTTCCCTAAGGAAAACACTCTCCAGACCAGAACACTTACAGAAAATGTAAGCTTAAACATTGCTGCAGAGCTGGTATTTTTTTATTGATGATAAATAAGCATTTGTCAGACTTTTTCCATAGTTAGCCACACGTCCCTGTTCTCAGTGTGCAGAGCTTGATCCAGAGTGAGTTACATTTCAGAAACAGTCCACTTACCAGAACAAAAATCTCATTCATTCAAGCAAGACACAGGCTCTTACATTGTCCATACGAAGTGAAAATCTGATTTTAAGATCGCAGCACTGGTTTGAATTTAACTAGTATTTCTGGTATGTGAAGACACAGTAGCATGGATTTTCCTGGAAGACAGACAGACTTGACATGGAGCATGTAGCAATATCACACTCGAGTCCAAGGAACTTCCCCACAATTACCCAGCAGTAAAAACCCGCATACATATGCCTATTTTACATTTTCAGATCATTGCCCAATCTCTTGTATTATCAGTACTTCATTTCCGGTATTTAAACTAATTCCTGTAATAAAGTTAGAAATAAATTAGCCCAGTAAATGAGGCTACATTTTCAATGTATTATTTTACCAATTTCAAACAAATGCATTAACTGTATGAAAGTAAGCAAAGTTCATTCTATTAAACTGTAGCAGCTTCTAACATTATATACTAATGCAAACAAAGGGAACAGACTGCTGAAGTATTTATTTTTTCAAGCAATTCTTTTGCTCTATCCTCAGGCCTTGGCCTTTCTCAAGATGTTGCTGGAGCAACTTTTATGGCTGCTGGAAGCTCTGCTCCAGAGCTTGTCACTGCTTTTCTAGGTAAGCAACATAGGGCTTGACTCCTCAGAATCTAGAACTCTTTTCCTTGTATGCCAAACTTAAACATACCAGAGAGTCATTTCCCTTACAGGAGTCTTCGTGACCAAGGGAGATATTGGTATCAGCACCATCCTTGGATCAGCAAACTATAATCTTCTTGGTATTTCTGCAGCTTGTGGGCTGTTTTCCAGCATGGTAGGTATCAATTTTGATAGTTCTGCTCCTAAGAGCCATACAGTTATCCTTTCTGATTTGCCAACAAAAGCCAAGAGAGACTTACTATGACAACTGCCAAGTTTATTATTTAGTAGCAAAACCAGCATGTAATCAGTTTTAAGGTAACTTGCTATGAAAGTTTTTAAAAACATTAACTTGTTAAATATCATACTCAAGTCATTCCTAAGAATCTTAAATTTTTACATTATATAGAAACAACATATTGATGCAGCATTTACAGCACTTAGTGAAAGTATTACAGACAAGTCCAAGAAAAGGAAATGAATCTGTGTTCTGCAGGTGTCAAAGCTATCCTGTTGGCCGCTGTTTAGAGACTGCCTGGCATATACAATTAGTGTGGCAGCAGTCCTTGCGATGATATCTGACAACAGAATTTACTGGTAAGAGCACAAGTAGTGTTGAATTCATGTTGACTGGAGATTAGTGAGACAGTGGCTTGAAAAACAAACCAAAAACCCCAAGCCCCAAACCAGGTAGCCTGAACTACCATTCACTAACAGAAACGAACATCCCGTTGGCTAATCAAAAACAAAACCAAAACACAACCAAAAAAAGTCACAATGCTTATAAAGATTATTACCTAAACATTCAAACCCTGCATATTTATAAAGTTTCATCTGCATAGGTTTGTCTGTAGAGACTTCACAATTTCTATCACCACTGTTCTGGCATAGCAATTAGTCTTCATACTCCTTTTGAGCCTTTATCTACTAGAAGCAGATCATGAGCTTCTGAGGTTTTAACTCTTCCAGGAACATTGAAACTCCTGTTGCCTCAACAATTCAGTCATGTCCCACACAAAGTCTGCCGTTTTCAACTCAAAATAGCACATACTATCCCCTCTTTAACCATCGCATGAGGACTCAGTTTCACAAACATCAGTAAGAGGCTGGCTCAGTAAGATGCCCTGGAAGACAGGCAGCTATACAATACACAGACAAGATTCTGCAGGGGAGTGGAATCAATCCAACTGCTGAAAGGCAGGAGGATACTCATGAGATCAACCATACGACTGCAAACAGATGTTTTGGGTGTTTTCCTTTTGCTACTCACAAATTTTCTCTCTCCTTACACTAGCCATTTTAATGAGTCAAACAGTTGTCAGGTTTTTATACTACATGTTATGTAAAACCTGTTTTTCATTCTAGGTATGAAAGTGCATCCTTATTATTGATATACGGGTGTTATATTCTCATACTGTGTTTTGACATTAAAATCAACCAATACCTCATGAAAAAGTTCAGTCCCTGCTGTGCGTGTTTTACAAAAGCTATGGAAGAGAATGCTGAGCAGCAGCCACTGGTTGGGTGGAGGGAAGAGAGTGGACCTCTAATCCGACAACAGTCAAGAACAGATAGTGGCATTTTTCAAGATGAGCTGGACTACTCTCAGCTTTCAACAAGCTTGCATGGGCTTGATGAAATCTCTGAAGGTAGGAGTATTATTACAGTTGTCTTTATACTCTGCATGCCTGTCTGCACCATTTCTAATAGAGTAGATTCTGAGACAGTATTAAGATTTTGTTCACAAAAGAACTCCAGCATTGTATTTAAGTAAAGCATTATTCTTCCCTGGAACATAACATCAAGTAAAATCAGAATGGTGGTACTTAAATGAAGTTAGTTACTAGAGGAATGCTAAGATAGTAATTCGTGTCATATCAGAACAGCAGATTTCCATCAGTCTTTGCTGTGCACATTAGAAACTTCCCTGCAATGCTGCTTGTAAGATGCAATCAGCTGAAAGACACACTGGTGCTGTACTAATACTGTTTTCTTATGACAATGGCAAATTCATAGCCCAAAACATTCATTACATCAGAAATACAGAAATAGCTATGATGTGGCCACAGATAATCAGTTTCCTCTTCACTTAGGCAAAACCCAGCATTTGGTACTTATTCTTGGTAAACCTTTTGTGTAGACCTTTATAGAAAAGTTCACCCACCTTAGTTCTCTCCTACTTGACACGGTAACAAAGAACATCTGATTTCAGAGTTTCGTCCAGTGTGATGTAGGTACTGGATAAGACTACAGCTTGAAGTATTTTTAACCTGTTTTCAGTATTCTCACAAGTAGATGCCAGTAACATGGCTATGTTATGAATTCAAACCATGCTACAATTTAAAATAGTGTTTTTCCTCAACAGATCATCCAAGTGTCTTCACCATGCCTGAAGCAGATATGAAGAGAATCGTGTGGGTGTTATCCCTTCCTATTATTACACTACTCTATTTGACTATACCAGATTGCAGAAGACAGTTTTGGAGGAACTGGTTCATGGTGACATTTTTAATGTCAGCAGCATGGATTTCTGCCATAACTTACGTCCTAGTATGGATGATAACCATAGCAGGTAGGTACCTTAAATGCCACTGCTAGGCACAGACTCAACCAATTGAGAATCACTGAAAAAAAACAGTTTTTTCCCCAGTGAAGTTTTCCTTTCCACAATTAACAGTCAGTTTAGAAACACATAGTTTGCTTAAAACAACAAACCCAACAAAAATATATGTTTGACTGCTTAACTTGCCACCTTCTTCCATATAATGAAAACCACTTTAGAGTTTAGCTGCTTCAGACTGTTTACCAGCACATGAATAAGGAAAATTTGTTTATATTTCTATAAAAAAAACCAGCCTGTATTTAAAAAGAGAAACTTTCATGACACTTCATTAAGTGAAATGATTAAATACACAAAAATAGACTTGTCAAGCTGAAGTCTGACAAACAAGTAATCCACCAAGACTGGAATTAAAGGTACGGAGTTCTATGAAAGAACTATTATTTCTATACCTGTATTTTTTCTTGAGCGCTACAGTAAGAGATTGGGTATTAAATTAACTGCCAAAAGCATCTCCTAGATTTTTGTACTAATTTATTACACCTATAGCATCACAGGTTTATTAAACATTTTTGGTGTGTATGTATACCTCTCATAAATCTTAATCATAAAGTAGTAAAAGAACTGCACTGGAGTGAGATAAGGGGTAAGAAAACTTCTGTGTAAAAACATTTTCTTAAAACTATCTTCAAGTATTAAATATCTCATTTCATTGCTTCTCCAGTCAGCTTGAAAAAACAATCCAGTTTTTAATTTTAAGAGCAAGCAGCAAATAAATCTCTAAACAAGAAAGAAAGGTTACAAAGCTTGCTATTTCCACATTTGAGCTCACTAACCCTACTCAAGTATTCTGCTAGTTCAGCATCCTAAAGTTGTTTTCAACTTAAGTTTGATGGATAGCTCCTTGTTCAGCGCAGAAACAGACGCATTTGGTAAACCTTTGCGAAATGACTCGTAGATTACTGGATGTAACACCCACCGGGTTCACTCCCTGGTCAAATAATTTTCCACTTGTATCTAGAGACCAAAGGTTTACTGTCTGAATGCTAGAAGCCTTCAAAATAGGACTCAAATGAAAGTTATTGCTGTGCTAGAAGACAAAGCACTAATCCACGTGAAAGCAGGTACACTGGAGGTTCAGATAGTGCATTAGTGTTAGTCCACTTTGAACAGTCATCACAAGCAGTACTGGGGTCTTTAGCCCACTACTTCTAGGTCCAATATATTCTATTTACATGTTGAAACACTAAATTACACACATTCTATTCAAGTCCAGGTTCTTTTACGAAGGGTGACTCAAAGATTCTGTTGAGGCATAACAACCTATCAGAACATCACAAAGATATCGTAACTGGGGACTGAATTTTGACCATCGAGAACAAACCCTAGTGACTTTTTTGTTGCTAGCATAAAAAAAACAAAGACTACAACTTATAGCAAGATATTGCTACTAACACACAAAATTAACTAAAGGCTAGAAAAATAAAACCATTCTCTATTTATGTCAGTTGTCAGAAAAAAAAAAAACACAAACAACCCTTCACATTAAATAGAAGATAAATCTATCTAAAATAAAAAGAAAAACTTAGATTCACCTGAGTTTAGATTCTATCCGATAACCTTCAGAGGGCTAGAAACCACTACTGGGTACAACACGGAGGGTTCATTCATATTTCACATTGGTCTGCTTGGCATAAAGCATTATTTTCCACTTGGATGGTTTATAAAAGCTGATCTTGTTGGTCCCTCATCTTATAAATTTCTTACATTAGGAGTGATGGGAGAATCAACACCAGTACACATTCTGCAACAGGATTGTATTAGTCCCTCTGAACCAACAGTTTCAAACATAAATTTCCTTAAGTGATCCAGACTACGCTGGGAGGTACAGGCAAGCACTGCCTCTTACTTTAAGAAAACTGCTCTTATTAGTGTCCACATATTGCAAATAAGAATTCAGATTTCAAACTCCCCCCCCCCCCCCCCCCCAAATGTATCAATGCTTTTAGTGAACAGAAAAGTTAAATAAAAACTAATTATTTAATAGTCTAAATAGCGATATCAAACACTTCAGCCTATTGATGCTTGTGAACAGTACAACCACTAAAATAGTTCTGAAGAGCTAAATCTGTGTATTTTAAGTGAGAAATTAATATGCTTACAGGACATGTGGGGAAAAAAAAAAGTGGGGGAAATAAGCTGCCTTTTTAGTAACAATTTAAAACTTCTTAGTTTAGGTCAGTATTTATCTAAAGAAACTCGCACAAGGATAACTTGCACTTAAAAAGTCATACAAAAATTCTGCATTATGCTTCTTCCAAATACAACTAAATCCAACACAAAACCTAACTGGAGTGAAATAGTAAAGCCATGTAGTTGAGACAGGATTGAAGTCATGATCTTAATGACCCTCCTCCCAAGAAAATTCATCTGCTTTTTTCCTACGACTATAGAGAGGGTGACTGTAAGAGTTATCGCTTCATAAGACTTTTGAGCACCAATCACAATATGCCCAAAACCAGAAAACTATTCTATTTCCTAAAAGTTGGGGGGAAGAGTAAATTGTTGGATATTTAAACTTCTCCTGTACCCGAAATAAAATATACCGTAACTGGTATTGTCTTGACCACTGGAGACATTCCACTCAGGCTTTCGAGATACTTATTAAGCAAGATGGTTACTATGCTACAATTCCTTTTGTTATTTCATTGAAGAACATGGACAGGATGGTATTTCTTTGTTATTGTTCTTAACTATTCATGGTTCAGTCATTTCCTATTTAGTCAAGTTAGCTGACACATTCCTTTTAAAATTACTGTATGATTACTAATTCTTTCTCCCCAGCAAACAAAGTCCAAAGCAATTTCTTTGGACGAAACTTTAACTAAAAACATACTTGTATTTTCTAATGTTATTTATCAACTGCAGGTGAAACACTGGGAATTCCAGAGTCAGTAATGGGTCTCACATTACTAGCAGCAGGAACAAGTGTACCAGATACAGTTGCAAGTGTGCTGGTGGCTAGAAAAGGTAAAGATTTTAGTATTCAGACTCATTCCGATGGATGTGTTTAAAAGTTACTATTAAAAAAAAAAATAATTTTGAGTCAACACTTCCAAGAAATTCAAGAAGTAACTTCAAAGTTTCTGCTCCAGATTCTAGAGCTGAAGTTTACTACTAATAAATAAATATCTTACCTGAAGAAGCTGTGGCTCAGACATTCAAAAACCTCTCAGGGTATCTCAGAGAAGCATTCTAGATTGGTTTGATTTGTTGTTGATCAAGTGTTACACTTTTACTGCAAAACACAACTGTAGGTCTCGGGATTTTTAACATGACTGGACTTTACAACAGACTGCCTAGCTTATTTTAAGTGCAACTGTGCAGATGCTGGTGATTTAGGGAGACTTTTTTTTAATGCTTGTGATACCCAAAACCATGTTCTGCAGAATCACGAGTATAGTTCTTTCAATGAAAAGTCTGAAAAGGGTGCTCTGTGAGAGACTGAGGGCTGACAGTCTGTTCCTCCAAAACAGTTTGGCAATTTTGTACAGTACAATACAATGACACAGACTTATTTGTATTTCTTCTTTTACAGGAAATGGAGATATGGCTATGTCTAACATTGTAGGATCCAACGTATTTGATATGCTCTGTTTGGGAATACCCTGGTTTATAAGAACTGCGTTCATAAATACATCAGGACCCGTAGAAGTAAACAGCAGTGGTTTGACATACACAGCCATTTCTCTTATCTGTTCTGTTGTTTTTATTTTCCTGGCAGTTCACCTGAATGGGTGGAAAATAGATAAAAAATTGGGAGCAATTTGTCTTGCACTGTACTTAGTATTCACTGTATTATCAATTTTATATGAACTTGGCATCATAGGGAACAATCCTACAAGGGTCTGTGGGAACTAGTTTTAATCAGAGATTATACTGATTAAAAAAAAAGATAAAGACCAGTTTCTTCATTTAGTCAAAATAATAATAAAAAAATCCAAACTCCCATTGGGCTCTAACTCTTATTTACAGAACTAAGTCATGTCATTAAAGTCATACTAAGTAGAACAAAAACATCACAGCCTAATTGGAGCCCTTTCTTTTAGAGTCAAGAATTACAGTATGAGGACAATGCACATGTAAAACCAAAATTCTGGAAAAATAAAAGAAAAAGGCATCTAGTTTTTACATTACAATGTTGATACACACTGGGGGGGGATAAAAATAAGAAGACACTAAACAAATCCCACTATGCAATCTTGAGATTAACAGAGAAAATGGCTTATTTTATTAAAAACAGTATAACCATTCATTTAAACTGAATGACTAGAGACACTTGGCCTAATTTTCCAAAGGCACTGAGCACCCAAAGCTTCCATGGCCTACAGGTGCTCAGTACCTCTAAAAAAAGAACAAAAATCAGGCAAATTGTCTTTAAAAACCAAACATCATAAGATTCATTTAACAAGTATCACAGTATATTAAACACTATACTGTTAAAGGCTGGTGGGATTTAAAAGTTCCTTTTTACAGCTTTTGTAAGCATACAATGTTACTAAAAATGACTTACTAGGATAGAGAAGCTAAACAGACATAGGAATGTTCCTGAACACACAGTTTTAAGTTATGCATTGCGATCCAAGCGTACATCAATTTCTCTGCCACTGATTTTTATGCCGTTCATTATCCTACAGGCCTTTTCAGCAGATTCTGGTGAGTCAAATCTGACTGTTCCACAGCCCTTTGATTTTCCATTCTCCATTTTTATTTCTGCAAACATTACATGACCTGAATAAATAAGTTAAACAGCAGTTATTTCAAGTGTTTGGTGCACTAACAACTTAAAGAACTCATCAGAAGTGATACAAAGCAGTTTAAAATATAATCTAGGGGGACACGTGAAATTAGCACTTTCAGACTGATGGTATATTCACTCATTCAGGGCAGGTGACACAGGTCAAAACAGCAGTGAAGAATCCAAATTAAGATCCACCGTTTCAGATCTTTCCGTCACACTACTGTAAGACGAAGCATACCTGCATTTATCCTCAAGTTTGAAACAAAGTGCCCTATAAAGCTAAGGGAAAGTTCTGCGTTTCATTTACAGACACTGCCAGAGGTGTGACTACTGACAGGCATTAATTGCATTATAGTTCAGTCCAGTTCACCATGTTCATCACAACAACCTATCAAGCAATCACAACCAGCAGGCAATTTTGTAAAGATGCAGAGCAAAACTAGAGTCTTTAAACCAGTAAAGTTCCCAGGTTAGGAGTGATGGAAAAGTAGCATGCACTATGCAATTCCTGCAGTGTTTTCTTGAGGTTGGACACAATTCATGAAGCAACAATTTTATGTAGGTATCTTGGTACCTCAGAGAATGGAGTTTGAGTGTTCAGTTATGGTATGTTATAGCACACCACTCCTGAGCCCCTAAAATGCCACTCTAAATAACAAACTTTTCCCTAAAATACATAGCTTTTTATTTTTAAATATATAACAGAGCTGGACTTTCACAGAAAGAAACTGAACATATGGAGAAATGGTCTGTGTATTTCCTAATGACATGGCATGAAAACAATCTGTTGTTTGTATTTGTGCTCATGATTCTTAAAAACAATGGAACATAGTGACTACATCTGTTAAACTGCCAAGGAGATGATGGAAAAAATAATTCTGAACTATGTGAAAGTTGCCCACCTGGCAGTTAAGACTTAAAAACAGAACCTGTCTGTGTCCTCCAGCTACAAAAACACACATCTGCAAACACCCAAAAAATTTTCATAGTTGAATTGCAAGCTCTAATTTATTATTAATTATCTACAAAGCGCTGTATGAAGACTGTCTTAGGTATCGGAGAAGGCTGCGTGGTGACCTCATAGCAGCCTTCCAGTACCTGAAGTGAGCTATAGGGATGCTGGGGATGGACTCTTCTTTACAGACTGTAGTGATAGGACAAGGGGTAACAAATTAAAACTTAAACAGTTTAGATTGGGAAGTTTAGACTGGATATAAGGAGGAAGCTCTTGACTGTAAGGGTGGCGAGGTACTGGAATGGGCTTCCCAGAGAAGTTGTGAATGCTCCAACCCTGGAGGTGTTCAGGGTGGACAGAGCCTTGGGTGGCATGGTTTAGTGTGAGGTGTCCCTGCCCATGGCAGGGGGTTGGAACTAGATGATCTTAAGGTCCTTTACAACCCTAACTATTCTATGATTCTATGATCAGTAGTTATGTTTTAAATGACTTGTCTTTTCTGTCTCTCCAAAATAAGACATCCTGAAACTCAGTTAAAGCTTTTCATTCTGAAAGTGCATTTTCAAAACAAAACAATCACGTATGCCTACACAAACGCTTCATTCTTCATTTACTTCTGAGAAATGACAATTTTTCTGAATTGAATAAAAAGAATTATTGGATATTTGTAGAAATCCTTTATCTTGGATAAAAAGGGCCTTTATTTCTTAACATAAAGGGGAAGCATTACAGCCTGCAAATATGCTAATGAGGATCATCTATTTGCATAAAAACCAATCTGCCAGTTTGGCAAAATTGCTAACTCTGATTTGATGCAGCACCATTTCTGGAAGTAATGCATAACCAGGACAGGCCCAGAGCCCTGAATCCATTTGTCTCAACATAAATGCTACACTTTATACCCTGTATTGGGCAGAAGATACATAATACCTGCCTCAAAAAGGAAAACGCTCCAAGAGTAATTTTATTAATGGAACGGGTTAAAGTTTATAGCAGATGTGCACTCAGAGCCTACATAACCTGTGCCATACCTTGGTCTCGCGTGTTACGTCATGCCTAAGAACTATTTATACAGCTCAGAAAAGCTGGGGGAAGTAAGAAAGATTAGGCTAGCCAGACTCTTCTCAGGGTAAGGCATCAACCTTGTGTTTCTGTCCTTATCTAACGAACACTATATAAAAGTAGCTGATGGAGCTGAGCAGTGACAGGATTCATATACATACCACACTGACTGAATTTCTCCTTTAGCTTCTGCCAGGTCAAGTCAAAAGGAAGCTGGAATAGAAAAGGATTATAAATAACAAAGTATTACAAATAACAAAGTATTACAAAGTGCAAAAGAGCATGTAACCAAACATGCATGCAATAGAAGTTCATGATTTTTATGTATTCAGATACTTACATTTCTTACAAATATCTGGTTGCCTTTATTGCTTAATCTCTCTCTCATGCCACTTCCCATTGGCCCAGGCACAAATCCTCGATCAATATCCATGTTCCTGTCCAAGCCTCCACCCATAGCTGGTCCCATTCGATCAAAACCTGAACTCATCCGATCCATTCCCATTCCTCCAGGCATACTGTTCATACCACCCATTCCACCACCTACACAGAGAAAGGAAAGGGGGATAACATCAAAATGTTTCTAGTAATAAATGCACAAGTACTTTGTTATAAGAATAAAATATCAAAAAATGTTTTGTGTCAGGAGAAAAATAACTTTAATAAAATTGCTGTAACACAAAACAACTTCATACATGCACAGTGATTTACGTAGTAGCATGGCTAATATTTTAAGGTGAAGTATTAGAAGATACAAAGTGTCAGTTCTAAAAGAAAAGTAAAAACCAAACTGCATCAAGCTATTAGTCACACCATCTAATGAAGTAAAATGTTGAACACAGGAATTAAGACTTAAAGGCTGTCCAGTTTTATTAATAAAAATCCAATACTCTGTACCAAAAAAGAGATCAAGTAAATAACTGTGGCAACATTACAATACAGATAATTTGGCCATATATACTCATTTATTTTGCTTTGCACATTCACATTCAGATTTAATGCAGCCATACCCACACTTAATGACACAATCTTCTAGAGAAAGCATATTTTGCAGAGAACAGATGTTATTGCAAGTGCTGTGAAGAACATGGATCTTACCATGATACATGCAAGCAAATATATTAGTGTATATTATATAAAGAACTAAGATCAATGGCATTCAAATATCCTATATTTCTGTATTCATCATTAAAAAATAATGTAAAGCAAAACTATCAACATCATTCAGGAGGGGCTCTCAGGATTGCCACTAGCAAGATTTTAGTTTCTCATCTGCTCTAGCCTGAGGAACTTAAGACATTTGCTGTAAGACAAACTCAGCTTTAGAGCTTTGCACAAAATTAAACTGCATAATACTCTGAAATTCAAGTCTTATTTTTTATTTCAATTATGAGAGATTACTACCGTTCAGCTTCATGATGTTCATGCAAATAGCTGCGCCTATTTTGTCTTTCTTCTGGAACAAGAGTTTACCTAAATCACTTCTCCCTCCAAACCAGAAGTTAAAACCATTTCAAAACTAAGACTCAGGGAAGGACTGTTATTAGCAGTTTTCATCTGAATTTTTACCTCAACAAAACAGCTTTAAAAATTATTAGACTTGCAGTTGCACACAACAGAATTCTACTTCTTCCAACACTGGCAAGATGCTATGCTACAAAGAAACCCCCTGGTATAATTACATGTACACTGTATCATTACATTGCCTATGTATTTACGTTCTATTGAAACGAGTTAACCTACTCATTCCAGATCTTACTGGGCCCATGCTAGGTGCTCCCATTCCTCCTGCAAAAACACCAATCATTGCACCACCTAAACAGAAAAAAATAATATAGTGATATACAACAAAAACACCCGTTAGTGACAACAACAAAGCACACGCTGACGAAGTACACTGTTCTCTGTGTTACCTGACAATTCTTTTCTACAACACTTTAACACGTGCCTTTATTATACAAATTAAATAGGAAACATCTAGTAAGTAACATTAGTCCCTCCTTCTTTATTATGTGATTTAAGTTACTCTGATTTCTTTCTACCTTTTCTCTCCTCTGACAGTCCACCAGCAGCACAAACATCTTAAAACTAAATAAGCCATTTCCCACAATGAGAAGAAGAGCCTCAAAACTGAATGGTTCA